GAAAAGTAAATGCCCGCCATTGTTTAAAGTGGTTCAATCGCCAGAAATCCCAAATTCAGTTCCAGACATTCTATGTATGGATATGTATGTGCGATGGTGTCGGTGGCCTCCGGGATTGCTCGGGCGGGTTTGCTTAGCTTATGTCGGGTAAGCGCTTTTAACTAGTTCTCGCAGCGCTGCTAGCAAAATTTCGAGCATTCTCAACCACTCAATTACACACTCCACACACGCACACACACGCACCCACACACACGCAGACGGGCGTAATCAATTGAGCTGGCAGGCAAAAGGCACTAGGCAAACAATGGGCATTATACACCAGAAGTTACAATGGGGCGGGTGCACCAGAGACTTTCTCATAAATTTCTCGCGGCATTTGGAAATTGCATTGAAAAACGCACGTAAAACTATTTGAGCTGCTAACCTAAATAAATAAGCGACGGCAACTATCGCAGATGCCTGCAGCAAAAACAGGAAGGCTAAGCTTGAGTTCAATTGCCGAATATTCAATACACTTACATTGTTAAGTAAGCGAATTTGAATTGATTTGTGTCCACTCTTAATGGTAATAAAATGTAAAAAAATGAATAATGCTGAATATTAAAAACTCTTCTGGGTGCTACATTTTTTAATTAAAAAAAATAAAATAAAATAAAATATATAATAATCATTAAAAAAATGGAAAAATATTAAAAATGCAAAAATAATTATAAAAAAATAATAAACACAAAACAAAAATAATTATAAAAAAAAAAATAAAATAAAAATAAAAAATAAAAATTAAAAACAAATAATATAAAAATTAAAAATAATAATAAATAATTAAAAAATAATAATAATAAATAAAAAAAAATATTAATAAAATAAAAACAAGAATAAACAAAATTTATCACAAAAAAATATACATATATATAAATAAATGAAATGTTAAAATGAAATAAACTTTTCCAATATTTCAATTAATTGGAATTCGCAAAAAATCATTATATAAATAAACAAATTTAAATATTGAATTAAAAGTCAATCCCTTTTGCATAGCTTTCACTTTCCAATTGATAAGAATTTATATCAATTTTTTTTTTCTATTTTTATGAGAGTCGATCTATGATCGCTATCCAATCTTTTTTATGTCTGTTTGGCAAAGAATTTTAGTTCAACATTTGAGGCGTAATTAATAAAAAAATCTGTAATTTATCTATCGACAAACATAGTTATTTGCCTAAATCAAGCATGAATCTAATTATTTGATTCAAGCAGTTGCATACACGATCAAGATTTCGAAACACCCCTGGTAGGGTGTTAATAGACTGTAAGCCGCAGCAACGCGACTTCAATTGGAAGCCCGGGCATGCAAGACAATTCTAAAACTGCAAAATGTGGGCAAAGAGGGAGAGAGAGAGAGAGAGAGAAAGAGAGAGCGAGAGAGCGAGAAGGAGAGAGGAAGTATGTGTGTGTGGAGAGTGCGAGCGGGCGCCGGCAATGAACTGTGTGGTGCAGGCAATCAATAGATGCGGCAGCAACTTGAGATACAAGATACTTGCAGTGCAACCGTGGAGCTTCCCACATGCTTGTGCGGAATGCTATGGAATGTGCACACGCATCTTCGATTGCCATGCGATGGGCTGGGATGCCCGTTGCGGTGGGTGCTGCTGGCAGTGGCAGTGGCAGCTGCAGTGGGTGTGGGGCAATAGCCGCGCAGTAGCTTACATTTATGCGCGAAATTGTCGTATACATTTGCACATTCATAAATTCTCGTTGAGCGCCCCTAAGGCGACAGGCGGCAAGAGCCCGTTCCGTTGCACAATTGTGGAAGGCGGTCGAGGGCAACGCAGCCGCAAGTAGCAAGCGGCAAGCGGCAGGCATAGTTGCTCTAAGCTGTGCTCCCGTGTGTCCCGTGCTCCTGCTGGCATTAAAACTTCATCTTAATTTTATTTTGCTCTTATTTTATTTTCTCTGCTGGTCTTTCTCTTCATGTTTTGCATTTTTTTTTGTTTGCTGGCGCGTTTTATTGCCGCATTTCATGGCAACGTGGGGCAACCTTAGAACAGCACGTCATTAGACGATAAATTATCTTTCATGTGCGCTGCATTTTGCATAAAATGTTGCCATGGTGCCGCCGCAAAAGTGTGCCAACAGCTGTGCCAGCCGCGTTGCAGCTGAGCCTGCAGCCAGAATCTGAATCTGAATCTCTGCCTGAATCTGAATCTGGTGCGCGCTAACTGCAACTGGGAGCTGCTGCTGCTGTGGCATTAAAAGGATGCCAGGCAATTTGAATTTGTGAAATTCCATTGAGGGTAGCAAAGCCGTTGCCGGGCCTCACTTATCTGTGCACAAGATGTTGCCGTTTGATAAGCACAGCGCTGCACAGCAAATCAGCAATTTATGTGCCGCCGCCGCCGCCGCCACCGCCGCTGCTGCTGCTGTTGCTGCTGCTGCAGCAGTTGCAGTTGCAGTTGCATTCATCATTGACTGCAGCAACAGTTGCTGCATGGAATGCGCTGCCGCCATCGACGTGCGTTCAACTATGCAAATTTGTGCTAGCTGCCCCCGCCCCACTTGCAACTTGCTACAACTTAGTAACTTGCTGTATTCGTGTGTGTGTGTGTGTGTGTGTAGTTGTTGTCAAACAGCATTCAAGCACGATTCTGAGAAACATTCTTGCCCAGTGAGTTGACTTGCACTGCGACTCCAAGAATTTGTGCATTGAGTTGGCCTCAGCTTTGCCCAGATGCGGAGCAGATTATAAAATAAATGAGCTGAAATTATATTGAAGATTGCAACTAACGGTCGGGTCGATCGGCACACACAAGCTGACTGCCATGACAGTTCAATCGCTTAGATGGTCCATCTTCTAGTTCGAGCTGCTGAGCCATGGCCACCAATTGGTAGCACGAAAATTGCTTCTCGCGCTGATAGCTCCAGCATCTGTATATCATCTAAGTAAATTACTGCCATGGAGAACTGCAAATGCTGAATCGAACTGCTGCTGCTATTTAAATTCAATATTGCACGCATTTAACTCTCTGCCTGGCTGCTAATGACCCTTGGCGCTCTGCTGTTGACATTGCCCATTTCAGGTATGATAAATGGCAAAAGGTGTGCCAGCTAATGGCAGACCAAAAAAGCAAGGCAAGGAAATCGGAGTGTGGGAAAATCCAAAGAGGTTGCGGTTCATGTACGAAGTTGAAACATGCTTATATGACACAAAGAATACCTTATTGACTACAAACAGTTAAGAGTTTTTATAAAATTAAAAAAATAAATTAGCTAATAGAGCTAAGGTTTAGACTAGCATTTTGCATATACTTTTTTTATCTTTTATAGTTTTATATTCATATTCTATTTTTCATGTTTATGAAAGTTATATCATATATGTATTTATATATACTTGTATAAATAATTCCTTGATATAATTACCATAGCCATATGTACGTAGATTGGGCTTAAAGACATTTGTTCCTTTTTGGCAAAAGGAATTCTCAAACCCGATGTCAAATTTTGAATATCAACTCATGTCTTTATAGATGCGAATGTCTTATTCGCAGCCTCTTAACATAAAACATTTTGTCAGGGATCGTCACCAGCATTTAAATAGATTTGATATGATTGATATCATTCTTAAATATGTATTGCTATATACATATAGTATATATTGTTATTACAGTCAGCTGGATATGATTTCCACATCATATTACATCCCTCTGATAAAAGTGTCTGGCCATGCGTAAGGGTATGCACATATTTGCTGAACTTTGACTATTCGCTGCAGGGCAGCAGTTTCTAAAGTGCAATTTAACGCCCTGCCATTGAAACAATTATGCCATAACAATTACGTTTTGGTTGCACATGCAAAGCCACGCCCCCGCCGCCCTTTCGACTATTTAGCTGCATGTGCTGTAAAGTTGGCGCATTTAGCGCTTCTGTTGCTGCCGCTTCTGCTGCTGATATGGCATTTGCTTGTTTTAGCCATCGCATTGGCAAGTCCAAGGAATTTTCATGCGTCAAATTGCCGCATGTGCATTGCGTGTAATTACAGCAATAAAAATTGCAACACATTGCGTACAAACATGCAACATATCAACGGGTTGCACTTGCCACTCGCCGCTTGCCACTCGCATTTCGATCAGAGAGCCCTGGCCACATTTTCAGCTGTGTAGCAATTATCTTATTTATTTCACTACATTTATCAAACACTGAACAAATTTGAACAGTTTCCCTAGAACTCGCAATGCAGTCAGTCGTCTTCCCAGTTACAAACGGCTCGTTAGCCCAGTTGGCCACAAGTGAGTGCGCACTGTGGTGTCCGGCTGCCACTTGGGTGGCCCTAGCTGGAGCGGAACGCTAGTTGATTGCATTTTTAGCATAAATTTCAACGCATTTGACTAATGTTTGGCGATTTGTTATTGTTGGAGATGCAACCAATGCTCGCCTTTGCCACCATTTTTCAACAGCCACTTTAGCTCTGACACCGGGAATGCATTCGGAATGCATCAGCCAAGGGGGGAGCGGGAGAGTGTGGAGAGTGTGGAGAACTTATTGCAGGTACTCAGTGTCATGTTGCGACTAGAGAACTCTCGTATCGTATGCAAATGCCAGTTGCTGTGCTACAAGAGAGGTGCTATTATGCAACATTACGTATACGCAGTGTGCGAGAGCTACTTGCCTGGCGTTTTCATTGCCAACAGCAACGAAATTAATTAACGGAATGGCTTCAGCGCGTACCACATTATCACAGTCAGAATTGCCACCGCCGTCAGCGGCACCACAAATATCAAAACTCTCGCCCAGCACGGCGTCTTGCTTCTTGGCATTTTCTGTCTCTCTAGGGCATTGCCCTAAGTGGAGTATATAGATAACTTCCGAGTCACAAACAAAACAAGAAAGAAAACAACTGTTTTTCTCTATATATTATCTACTTTGTTTTTTTGCCTGTTTAAAGTGTTTTAGTTTTTCGGAGACACTATTTTCAACTCAAGTTCGATATTTTGTTTTTCTTGCAGTTGCTGCCGCTACACAATCGAAAAACTCAACAACACTAAAGCCGTATATACAGATCAAGAAGCACGCCGTCACAAGACTGACCATAACCAATCCGAATGCCACCCACTTACTGCACTGCAATCCCATCATAAATCCGTATGACTACTACCAGGGTAAGTGAACGAAGCACTCTGCTCTCGTTGTTGTATGGCTTTGATTGACCTCTCCCGCTGCAGACGGCGCTCCCATCTACTGCAGCTGGTACCGCAACGGCGAGGCCATCGAGCACTTGGCCATTCGCAACAATCAGTTCTTCATCTATAAGAATGGCACGCTGCGACTGCCGCCCAGTGAGCGCATCAGCGGCGTCTATCATTGCCTAATTGAGTCGGATGACATGAAAGTCATATCCGACAGCATCACAGTCGAGTATCCAGGTGAGTCTAACTCGGATCCCACTCGACATTGCCCAACTTAATCCACAATCCTATTCCTGCAGTGCTGAAACGTCTTGTGCTTGGCCCCCAGCAGAGCGCCAACGTAAGCGTCCCGGCGGAGGGAAACCTTGTGCTCGGCTGTCCCTTTTTTAGTGTGCCCGCTGCTCGCATCAGCTGGTACTTTGGCAACGAGTCCTTGGCGAATGATAGCAGGCGAGTAAAGATCAGTGTTTGGGCACCGAACCTGCAGCGGCTGGAGATCTGCTCCCCCAGAATGCCTTCTGCTTATTTGGTGGCTTCAAAAACGCTTGGCATGCTTGAGTTTGGATGTCATCTGACAGCCGGCATTAATATATTTTCTCCATTTTGCTCTCTTCTTTATTTTCCACAGCGCTTTTATCCTGAGCAACGGCACGCTCATAGTGCGCAAGGTGCGACAGGAACAGGCCGGAAAATACAAGTAAGCCAAGAAATTAAATATGCTGCGATATAACTAAATGGTTTCACAGTTTGTTTTTTATACCCTGAACCCATTGAAAATGGGAAATCAGGGTATAATGGTTTTGTT